CATTCATTTCATGTAACTCAACCAAGCCTTCTTTCCATTGAGCCCGATTTCCCTTTTACATGGCCTCACACGTACTGAGAACCCAGGATACAAGTTACATCCAACACCTAAGCACTAGGTGAAGAGAAATCTCTAACTCTCATCAGTTTGAACATTTATATTGCCAGTGGCAATGTCTGAGGCAAAGTTATTTGTAGACCTTTTACTTTAAACACATCCAAGGAAGTTGAGCAAGACCAAAATTGTGTTATCCCATTGTCTACAAAATAGATCCACACAGTACATATTTACTCTTGGATTTGTAAGTTGAACAAGAATTTGTTGGAAGTGTGACCCGGTACAGGGGACGAATACGCATATTTTTTACCACTTACATTGAAGCAAAACATACCCTACTTCTCCCATTAAGGACGGTGCCTACTTTTGTTAGTGCGCACATGTTCTGCGCATCACACAAGGCATGGTTAAGTGCCATGCGCGCATTGGGTTGACATTCATGCAATCAACTACGCTACCAAGTACACGACTAAAATGAAAGAAAAATTGTCCTGCTGTGACCAAATCAAGTTTAATGATCCTTCTCTTGCCTGTACTTAACCAGAAACACCAGACTAGAAGCATATCACTAACCACAAACTGTTGACGTCTTCCAGCTGAAAAACTAGCTGTTATCTGTTGAAAATTACACTGAAATCCAACTTTAAACATGTACCTACAGATAGTGTAGTGCACGCGCAAAACAAGTGTGAGATACGTGTTAGCCCTCGTTGCCACAAAAGAATAAGGCAAGATCAAACCATAGACTTGTCCAACCGTTTTATTTTCTTTTTTGGTCTCTCGACCTTGTGTTCGACTATTTTCTACATATCACGTGACTGACTGTGACTGATACTTCTTCCATGCTCAACAATCTGGAATCATTGCTTACTGCAGACACCCAAACTGTCTCTCCTCATCCTTGTGCTCTTACTCCCACACAACATGCCTTGATATCACCTTGGGACACATTCTCAGTACACAGGTTCATGTAAGAGTCAATGTCCATTGGAAATCTTGAGAATGCATCTGCATCTTTATTGGAGTGACCTGGTTTATACTTGATGGTGAGTGAGAAATCTGCTAGCTCTGATACCTAATGGTGACCGGTGGCATTTAATTTCGCAGTGGTCAGCACATAAGTAAGGGGGTTATTATCAGTATAGACAATAAAGTCAGGTGCATGGTAGAGGTAGTCTCTGAAATGTTCGCATATAGCCCACTTAAGAGCGAGGAACTCTAGCTTCCCGGAATGGAGGAAATAGTTCTTTTCCGCCTTGGTTAGTGATCATGAGCCATATCCAATAACTCAGATTTTCCCATCCTGTTTCTGGTATAAGACTGCTCCTAGTCCCTCTTGTGATGCATCAGTATGTAATACAA